TCCCCGCTGGGGCTCCTGTACACAGCACCGAGCACTAACATGTCGCTGTTCCTCAACTTAAGCTTAACAAACACAGCTTCTTGAAAGAGACTGCCAAACTTGACCTCTGCTGGCCTTAGCTCACACCGTACCATGATTCCGACACCTCTTATGCTTAGCAGTCCCAAATTCTCTAGTTCCGGATCAAAGTTGAGATATGTTGTGTAGTCTTCTCCAACTGAAAAGAATGACAGTGACAGTGGTCTTCGTTGCGCTTTAGGTACACACTCAGTGAGGACCACTATATCCGGCTTATCATCTTCAATTCTCACCAACAGTTCATCCATCTTGTTTGGGAGCCCATCAATGCTAGTGTACATAACTTTTAAGACCTTAGATACCTCGGCATGCAACACGTCACCCAGGTTTGTGCCATTTACACACACATTCTGCATAGGTGCTGTGAAATTGTTGTCATGCAACATGGGACAGGTCACATTCACATTATCACTCCAGCATGCAGTTTGTAAAAGCGATTTGCAGGCAGCATGGGCAAGCTGGGCCCCATCCACACCTTCCATGCGAAGATATCCTAGCAATATGTCTTTTACTCTTTCATTTAGTCAGACTGTACTCCCGTGATCAGCTCGATCACTCTGTCCTGCCTCAGGGTTTGGCTGCAGAATAACGACCCTTCCTCTCTGTATACGGACAGTTTTTCCTTCCTCTCGGAGCCTCTTCGCCTCAAGTCGCAGCTTGCGGTCCTTCTCCCTCTCCTCAGGGGTCCTGTCTGGAGAGAGGAACACCCCTCGGTACCTCTCACTGTCTCGCAGCTGTGGAGCCATCCTCAGTATGTCCCACTTTGTCCCTTCTTCGACCAGTGAAACTATCAGTGGTCGTGGTCGATCCTGCTGCCTTTTCCCTGCCCTGAAGACCTGCTTGATGTTGGTTGAGATGTGCAGCTCTTCCCGGATCATATTCTTAAATGCCTCAATGTCCTTCTCAGTTCTTCTTTTTGGGTCCTCGTCCACACTCTCTGGAAGGTTATGCACCACAATATTTTGCTTCCGCCTTTCCTTGTCAAAGAAGTCACCAACAGATTTGACCAAAGTCTCGCCTGATCCAGACTCTGCAGTAGTTCTCACTTCTCTTGCTGATATGGCCTCTATCTTGGCTCCCAGTGACTTGATTGCCTCTGCATAGGTTCTCCTCTGCTCTTGTTCTGTAGAAACAACTACTTCAGCTTGATCTTCCTGGCACTTGATCTTTTCCTCAATGCGGAGCACAATGCTACCGTGTCAAGGAAAAACATAGTAAGCGCCAATGTAAACAAAAATGAGTTAGAGATGCTAACGGGGGTTTTCGGGAACGACGGATTCGTTTCTGGTATCGCTTTTTTCATAACTTTCTCCAAAACTGAGATATTAAAGGGGTAGAATATAGCAAGTCCAGTGGCGTCTTCCGTTTGGCAAAGAAAAACACAGCATGTGACAAGTTGCTGCATGCTAGGTTTTACCTCGACCAAAGAGACTGCTGAACATCCTATTTTGCGCTGATGTGCATTAGGGTTGTTCAAAAAAAACCGAATTTTGGAAAAGTATACGGGCTCATGGTTCGTGTGGTGAGGTAGTCTTTTCTGAGTCCAACGATGCCCTTTTTTCCGAAAAATATTAACTGCTTCATGCTCCCCAAACGGCTTGAAGAGGAGGATGTTACGCCCGGCGGCCGGCCGGTGTCAATAAGGGCGAGAATTCGCTGCCGCGCGCGGGCGGAGGCGCCTTATCGGCACCGCGCGCCACGACATCTACCGGGCGGCCGGCCGGCCGGTGGTGGGAGGGAATGAATGCGTGGTCTTCTTTCACATGATGATAGGCATGATAGGGGTGCACTAGCCCATATTGTCGGAGCGGAAAGTTTCAGTGCAGCATCGTTGCCTCTGCCGCAGTGTTCTGTGTCGATGGTTCAGAAAATAGGCCAAACAGAACTAAGAAAAGACTCAATGCTTCTGGCTAGTTTATTCGAAACATCTCGTTTCGAGAATACAGCGCGGTGTTTCACGGCCGCTGCAACCACGCCTGTATGCGAAAATTGAAGTTTTCTAAGAACAGCAGGATCTGGCAAGGTGCAAGGACAGAAGGAGACCCCGACATCGACGTTAGGTTTAACTTACATTTGCAGTTCAAAAAAAAAAAAGATGACATGCCCGGGAATGACGCGGTGGCCGCCCTGACATTGTGACGAAGTTGGGCGTGAGTAGAGACAATAGCGGGAGTGCACATACAAGTCAAGCGCCCCTCAATCCAACCCTTCGGGCAGCAGCGGCACCAGCAACCCGGCCATGTCCACCAATGTCGTTCAAGATCCGAATCCAGAGCCGGCAGAGAGCACGGCTCTGCCCTGACGTGACACATATCCCCGGCGTGTCAAGACAGACAGACCATTACCTCGCCTGTATGAATACAACAATGTATACAGTATACCTTACCTATTTCTAAGTCTCATGTTGAGGCGAGAAGCGATCAGCGTCCAGTTCTACTTCGACGAAGACTCGTATTCAGACCCGGCAATGAGCACGGCTCTGCCCTGTTTCCGCGGCTTCTAATGGCCACATCGATACGAGACATCTCCAAGCGTCTGCTTTACCTACTACAAAACCAGGTCGGTGTGTTGCGATTAGCACGATACATTTCTTGCGTAGATATCTGTTAAATGCGTTATTAATTAGAAATAGGAAAAGTAAACATTGCCATCGTCATTCGCCAAACAGTCGAGGTTGCAAGCATAAGTCTGTCCGTCATGACACGCCGGGGATATGTGTCACGTCTCGGGGCAGAGTCGCGCTCAATGCCGGCTCTGGATTCGGGTCTTGAACGACACCGGTAGGCACGGCCGGGCTGTCGGTGCCGCTGCTGGATGGAGCGACGCAATTGACTTATACTCGTATGTGTACTCCGCTATTGTCTCTACTCACTTCTCATTTCGTCACACTGTCAGGGCGGCCACCCTGTCATTCCCAGACATGTTATCTTTTCTTTCGAACTGCTAATCTAAGTAAAACAAACGTCAATCCTGTTGCTTCAGCATTTCACTTCAACGAATCTGCATGACATTGGTGACGCCGATGCTGGTCAGAGCCATGCCCCAAAAACTTGGGCCAATGACTGTGCGAGGTCTCCACATTCTGTCCTTGCAGCCTGCTGCAGCTCCTCCCATCCTTCATAAATTTTCGCATAGAGTTGCGCAGCAGCATATTCAGGCTGCGAGGCATCGTCCAAATGCAATGTATTTTGTCAACAGCAGTGCAAAGAGCTGTGTTATTGCTCCGAGCTTGCAGCTTGATGAATAAACAAAGCTATATGGTATGCTAAGGAGCCAGCTCTATTCTGTAAACGGAATGTTTCGAGTGAGTTACCCAGAAGCGTTGAGTCTTTTATTATTAGTTCTGTTTGGCTAATTTTTTAACAATCGACACAGAACACCGCAGCAGAGGCACCGATGCAGCACTGAAGCTTTCCGCTCCGACAATATGGGCTAGCGCACCCCTATCATGTGAAAGAAGACCACGCATTCACTCCCTCCCATCGGCCGGCCGGCCGCCCGGTAGATGTCGTGGCGCGCGGTGCCGATAAGGCGCTTCCGCCTGCGCGCGGCGGCAAATTCTCGCCCTTATTGACACCGGCCGGTCGCCGGGCGTGACATGGTCCTCTTCAAGCCGTTTGGGAAGCATGAAGCAGTCAATATTTTTCGGAAAAAAGGGCATCGTTGGACTCAGAAAAGAATACCTCACCACATGAGCCATGAGCCCGTATACTCTTCCAAAATTCGGTTTTTTTGAACAACCCTAATGTGCATTGTGATAAAGTGTCGCATACGAGGTTCTCGCCCATTCGCGACTTCCACGCTTTAGGAAGCCCACTCCCCTGGTTGGGTCTGTCTGTTACTGCTGGCTACATGAGCGAGCCATGATGGCACATCAAGGTTGATGCATGTAGCAACTTGATGTGCTCTAGAAAACCTAAACTTCGCTTCACCGCCCCGGAGTCCCTATTGCAACTTATCAGTGTGAACCCCGATTTTTGAACTGTGGAGAGCCACACTGACAAACTTTCTCGGTGTCCTTGAGCGGGCCGACATCTGCTGCGTGTGCCGAGCCACCGAGCCCCGTTGGTACGAGTGGCAGGGGTGCCGGATCCAGTATCCCTGCACCTCTTCCTGACGTTCCCGAGGAGTTTCTGAGGGACCCAGTGTAATCTACGTCTGCCTCTGCGATACCGAATGCGTCTAAAGAGCACGATATCAGGGTGTGTGTGAAGTGCGTTAGTGGGATAAAACATTTTGATTTGGGTTGTATTGAAGTATAGCGAGAGATACTGATGCATGCCGAGACACTGCGTCAGCCAGCATGATGATGAGATGGCGTACACTGCAGATATGCAGGTGTAACTTCTAAAAAAAAAGACCGTGGCCCTGTTGACGGGACCTGCGGTAGCTGCAGCTCGGCGGTCAGCCGCGGGATCTATGGCCATTGGCCACGGGTAAACGCCGAGCTGCAGCTACGGCAGGTGCCCGTGAACAGCACTCGTGAAAATCACTTCTTTATGAGCCGTGTGGTCCATAGGCGTAGGAACAGGGGGGCCGGGGGCGGAGGGCCATGGCCCCCCACCCACTTTACAGCCTTTTTTTAAAGGGAAAATCTTTATTTTTTATAGGTGGCATGTGAGGTCCGTTTACTTATGCTAACGGACCATTCCTAACCTAACCCAAACTCAAACTTACCTACCCAAGCCGCACACAAAGTTTACTACATTGCCTAACCTATGATTCTTGTACCTACACATTACTGTGACAAGTGACCAGGGATAGCTAGGCAAGACGTGAAGCAAATATTTCAGGGTAAGATGAAGATATTAGTTGTTTTGCACCATTTGCTAGTTGTAGGTGATTGCAATTGCTTTAGGGTCTTGAATGAAATGACATTGCTGGCAATAAGCAATGATTGACAATCTCTAATGAGATGAGACTGGTGTACAGTTTGTCCTTGCCTGACAACATTTTCTATATTTCAGGTTGATGAGATGAAGTCATTCACATGCATGGATGCACAGTGAATAAACATATTATTAGCAATGGACATTCCTTTTATTGATCATGAAGAATCTGATATACCTATCCAGGTAGGTAATGATTACTGGTATTTTACCCCTTGAGACTCCTATTATATTTCATTTATAATTTACATATAGACAGGTAAATTGCATTGATGTGTAGATATGTATTTATTTTGCATCTATTGGCTTCTCCATCCTCATCATTTCTTTAACTTTATTCAGACCACCAATGTGGACTGTGAAGTGGGCTGGCGGTGGCGGCACCGACTGACGGCGGCGCCGGTCAGCGGCCGGCGCCCGTGTTTCCCGCCCCGATCCGCCTCCACAGCTGGTACTCGGAGACAGAGGACGAGGACGACAGCGGCGAGGTGTCGGTGACCGCCGCGCGGCCCCTGCCCGACGAGATCAGCGTCAACAACCTCCTGGACGACGTGGCCAGCTGGTCGGCCGACGAGACGGACGTCGACGGGCCGCCGCCGCCGCTGCCGGAGACGGCGCCGCCAGAGGGGGAGCCGACCCGCGGCCAGACCCCGGACACCGCCGGCACCCCCGCCAGTCCCGATCGGAGCAGTCAGGTGGGTCCCGGTATTGGATTTATAGGGGTGGGGCTGGTTGGGGGATGGGTCGGACTGGGTGGGAAGACTGAGAACTGAATGATACTTTTTAGAACGCGGTCGGTCGGTCAGCGACGACCGACTGCACTTAGTGGGATGGTGGGGACTGGGTAGAGTTGTGCGGAACAGTGTACATACAGCAGGTAGTATCGAACTACCAGGCACTGGTCTGCCTTAGTGTATCAGCTCATCTCATGGGCTTGCTGGATCGCTTAAAGGTTCTACCTATATGTTCAGTAATTATGTCATGTAAGGTTAATAATGGGGAAAACCGGCATTCGATTTTCGAAAGTTCTAATGCAAAAGTTCGATCTCCATCATTTAATTGTACGAGGATGTAGGTGCTAATTTACAAACGGTGTCAGTATGGCTAACCTTCTAGTTCGACTTACTTTACAAAATTTCGTCTTATTTGAACATGGCTTTGACCTATGTGAATGATTTAGCCCATCCAAATCAGGCAACGTATTTCATATGTCATGCTCTGTCTCGCCAAATATTATCCATCCCTTCATCATCGCTCTAATCTCCCATCGCACCGTGCCAGCCGCTATGTTTTTGGATCCAGTTTTGCAGCGTAGTTTAAATCTCATACTGATACCGCTGCGACTATGATCTCAGTGTCGCCGTGAGAAACTCGGTCGCTGCGTGATGCCATCACGACGGCACTCGCCGCTATCAGCTGGCTGGTCGGGCTGTGGGAACGGGTGTTGCTCGGTCCACTCGGCGTGCTCCAGTGCAGCCCGATTGGTTTCGGCCATCTGGTGCTGCCAGTAAATCGGCCGGGCTCCTGGAACCGGCTGTGATGTCGTCACTGCTGTTAGTGGTGAACAGATGGTGGTGTTGATGTTGAGTGTCAACACCAAGGTGACACAGAGTGTCAACATTCCGTGGCATCAGAGAATGGGCCGCGCAGCAGCACGGTGTAACGGTGTGTGGTTGGTCACACATCATTGGCTATTAGTGAAACAGGTTTCTCACGGTAATCCGTTAACGTCAATTCAAGCATGACCCAAAACACCTATCAATTACTCACCATCGATTCTGCTAGCGATCTATCGACGGCTGGTTTCTCATCTGCTCCGAACATCTCCCGTCTCCTGACATAATTGCGACTGTTGTTTAAGATTCGCCGTGCAACATAAGCCATCTGAGCCTGATCAGGTGCAAGGCACCACTTTCTGCGCGCCATCCGCCGTGATATCCGACGCTACAAAGACATTCTCGGAGGTGGTGGCCCGTGTTGACGCCTCTTTGCCTGGCCGGCCGGCGGCTGTTTGGTCTCGGAGAGGCTCCAGAGGCGCGCGGAGAGATCGGCGTGCAGTCGTGCTCCGCGTCAATCCTTCCGATCGGGACGATAAACCCGTCACGAGTCGAGAACTGGAGCCAAAGCGGCATACATACGTGTCCTGTTGATGTCCCGGGGCATGGCTAGGCTACACGTTGTTAGATAATGACAAGCGTGTTATCGAGGTGTTAAAGGACCTTGTTTGCTGACCTAAGCCACCTTAAGCCTCGTGATAGCATTATTTCCACTGTTCGATAGGATAGGCCTAGTGGCGCTATACATGACCTGTGTGTTATATAATAATTGGGTGAAGAAGAACGGCCGCGTGGCGGTCTTGGTCACGCTTGCATGTTTTTTTTTCTAAGGGCCTGTGAGCTGGCGTATGATGGACATAGCTCGCGTCCAAAAAGGCAGTAGGTAGGTAGGTACCGATAGTTCTCCTCAATCTACAGATACTTATTTCTAGTTGCGTAGCTGAGCGGGCTGGCAATTCTATCGGTGGATATATGACAAAGCAAACACATGTGGTGGTGCTGTGACTGCTCACAGGAGAGCAGGCTGTATGCTTTTCTTCGTATCGCCGATCCAGTTGCAAGCATGCTGCTAACTTGCTAGTATGTTCGATGTTCATCGATCCAAAAACAATCACGCACCCCCTTCGCCAACCCGTGAGCTACAGCTCAGCTTACACCTCCCGTCTCTCCCGTTCACAGGCTCCGGATAGCGGTTACAGTGACGGTAGCAGCAGCGTGCCAACGCTGTCTCGACAACGGGCGGCACTCGCCGATGGCTACCCGGGTAGCGTTGGACGTACAAACTGCTACCCTGGCAGCGGCGGTACAAATTGCTACCCGGGTAGCGGGGGTACAACCGGCTACCCAGGCAGCGGAGGTGGAGGCACAAATTGCTACCCAGGTAGCGTTGGACGCACAACCGGCTACCCAGGCAGCGGAGGTGGAGGCACAAATTGCTACCCAGGTAGCGTTGGTCGCACAATCGGCTACCCTGGCGGCGGTGGCGGCGGCGGCGGCGGCTCGGACGGCGGCGGAGAGCTGGCCGGCCTGCTGCGCGGAGTGCTCGACTCGGTCGGCCGGCCGCGACTCTCTGGCTCTGTCAGTGTCGCCAGCAGCAAGGATGTCGTTATCGGAAATGTCATCCACCTGCACACGGACGGCTTGATGAGCTCGCCACCGGCACCCAGTCCCAGACAGGTGCGTACGAAGGGGAACGGGGACGGGGAAGGGCCGTTTACAGGACAATTTGCCGAACTGCATTTTGCCGAATGCTTATTCGCCGAATGCCAATATGTCGAATGCATTTTGCCGACGTGTCTTTTTGCCGACGTGTCAAAAGGGCGAAGTGCTAAAAGTCGAAATGCAATTTGCCGACATGCCTTTAACTTTTTTGCCGACGTGCAATTTGCCGAAAAGTCAATTAGTCGAAATGTCAATTCACCGAAATGCTTATTTGCCGAAATGCTAATTAGTCGAAATGTAAATTTGCCGAAATGTCAATTTGCCGAAATGTCAATTTGCCGAAATGTCAATTTGCCGAAATGTCAATTATTCGCCAAAATGCTAATTTGCCGAAATGCTAATTAGTCGAAATGTCAATTTGCCGAAATGCCAATTAGTCGAAATTAATCTAACCTAACCTGACCCGTAAGTATTAACTTTAGGACCGACTCGCTTTTCAAAGTTAGAAACCCACTTACATGTCACCAAAGTATAAGAAAAACATAACTAAACCTTACCTTACCTGACGTACTGATTTTTGCCTACCCGTGGATAAGGAAGAAGATACATTAACCCGCGAGTTGCTGGGGGGGGGGGGCGTTAAACGCCCCCACTTTTTTCGCCGGGCCATAGCGCCGCAGGCGCTATGGCCCGGCAAAAAACGGCGCGCCGCAGGCGCGCCAAATTTTGGGTACCTGTAGAGAATTAATTGAAGTTTATTTTGACAAAGTTTCAAAAAAAATCGGTCGGAAAATTTTTGAGATATCGAGGTTTTAGTGACGTCATGATTTCTGAGTTTTCGACCAAAAACGGCATATGTTCAAAAAATCATATAAAATCACATAATAGACATACAGACATGCCATAAACGCCATTAGACTGCCAATACCATGAGCAATCAAATGGCTATCTTCAATTATTGATTATCGTTCCGCATTTTCCAAAATCCTGAACTGAATCTTGGCAATTTTTCGTGACCATGATAAATGAATTTCTTAAATTGAACTTTTTGAGCCAAACACGTACACATATGACAAAATGAATGTCACCATCGTGTTCTACGCCCCAAATTACCTATAAAACATGTGTCACAGGCTGCGAATATCAGTTTTTATTTTCGGGGATATGTGCCTACCCGGTTGACCTGACCTTGACCCTGACCTATGCTTGACTGACCCCTATATGGGGCTGACACTCTTGTAGGCCTTATAAGATGGATTGTGCACCGTTTTGACAGAGTTTATGGCGAGAGGCGCCCATTGCGAAGTCCTGAAGTCCATGCTACTGAAAGCCCGATTTCAGGTGTTTGACCTGACCTTGACCCGACCTGTGACCTCAAAATTTAACTTTAAAGTACTCATCTGAAGCGTCTCGTCGCGCTCTTTCTTTGCCGCCTCGTGCGTTTCGCTGCGCCTATTGGTTCTCGAGCTATCGGCTGGGGGCGTTTAACGCCCCCCCCCCCCCCCAGCAAACGGTGGGTGGCGAAATACCCCAGCAACTGCCGGGTTAATAGATTGCAGACAATGATAAGTCAATTATTTTTAGGTTAAGTGGTTGTGCATCAGGCTTCAGGCTACACAACAATTTAACCCTCACCGGACGTATTGGTTTTCTACATACGCGCCGGCCGAGGTGGTAATTGCTGAAAGGCGATTTGCCGAATGCATTTCGCCGAATGTCATTTTGCCGAAGTGCTTTTTGCCGACCTGTCAAAAAGTCGAAATGACATTTGCCGAAATGCTTATTAGTCGTTTCGCCCCTGATGGAGCTGGCGCGTCGCGGAAAAAACGAGCGTGTGCGCCGTTACGAGACGCAGAGATTGATACCCGATTTTAAGGTCCTACGTCAACCGGTGACCTCTGAGGTCAGGTCAAGTGCCCCAAGGTACGGTTCAGTTTTTGGCGAATAACTTCGCCACAAAGGGCCGCAGGGCCGCGATTTTGGCAGCATCGTGTTTGCCTTGCTTAGGCGCGTCAAATGATATAATTTTTAATTGGGTCAGGTCAACTTAGGGTGTTGACCTCAGGTCACGGTCAGGTCAGCACCCCCAGGTCATGAAGTTGGTGGAAAGAGGTCATGTCGCATATCATTCGATTCGGCAGGTATTCTCGAGTCCATTGGTGGCTTTCCCGACTCGCTAGCTCAATTTGATCGGGAGTTATTGACGAAAAACGAATGTGACCTTGATGACGTCATAAATGACGTCACGCAAGGTCAACATTGCAAAAGTTACGCATCTAACCTTGCAAGGAGTGCGTCAAATCACGATTCTGTGTGCTTGAGATAGTTAGAGGTCGTTCCCGGCGCCAGAATAGCAGTTTTCATTTTTCTTCTTGACTTAGATGTAATGGTGATTGGTGGGGTCACGAAAATGACCTGACCTCGTCCTCAAATAACCTTTAGGAAAATCTGAGATATACAAGCTGTGAGACTCGTAATGGATATTAGGTCCTGCAAGTTTCATTTCCCTGTGAAAGCTCCTCTGGCCGTGAGGGCGTTGCGAAGTTGCGACATCTGAAGACCGTGCAGAGGTTCTTTTATGACGTCATAGGTCGGTGACCTGACCTGACCCGAAAATGCGGTTGATGTAAAAAGATCCGGCTTGAATCAAAGGTCAGCTATGCAAAGTTTCAGCTCTATCGCCAGCGTGTTCGGAGCTATCGCGAAAAAAACCTATGGGGGTGTGGCACCCGCACCCCCCTCGGCCGGCGAGGGTTAACCTAAAAATATTTGACTTACCTTTGCCTGTAATCTCTCCCAAGGCATTGCCTTCGGCACTGCACTGCTTCGCCACGAGCAATTTGATGTTTATTTCCACATGGTATTGGTGCTTTTAAACTTGCTTGTGCCATGAATAATTATTAGTTATGGAATCAGGAGGTCAAAGGATATCATGTGATTTGCTTCTTACTTGGGGATTGCACCAAAAGTAAATTGGTGATCGGTCCTAAGTAAATAAACACCACCTAAACTAACCTAACCTAACCAAGGTTCGCAGATTGACATTTCGGCAAAGTTATATTTCAACTAATTGACATTTCGGCAAACTGCCAATTCGGCAGATTGACATTTCGGCAAATTGACATTTCGGCAAATTGACATTTCGGCAAATTGACATTTCGGCAAATTGACATATCGACTAATTTACATTTCGACTAATCGACATTTTGGCAAATCGCATTTCGGCAAATTTACATTTCGACTAATAGGCATTTCGGCAAATTGGCACTTCGGCAAAAAGGCATGTCGGCAAATGGCATTTGGACTTTTAGCATTTCGACTTTTTGACACGTCGGCAAAAAGCACATCGGCAAAATGACATTCGGCGAAATGCATTCGGCAAAATGACATTCGGTAAATCGCCTTTCGGCAATTTGTCCGGACACCGAAGGGCCGGGTGGCGGCCTTTTGATATGTGAGAGCTGCTTTGGTATATTGTGGGTAGTGTGCAGTATTATATAATACTGAACGAGGCCGGTGTAAATAAATTTTCAAGACCGAGGTCCTTACTGGATTTTTGAACGAGGCCGAAGGCCGAGTTCAAAAATCAGTAAGGACTGAGGTCTTGAAAATTTATCACCGGCCGAGTTTGGTATGTATTTTACTGTATGCCAACGATGCCAACGATAAATATATATTACTGACCGGGCCGACGAAATTATTTGGAAACGAGGTTTGCAAAATTGACGTAGGCCCGAGTGCGAAGCACGAGGTCCGGAGTCAAATTTTGCAAGCCGAGTTTCCAAATAATTTCGTACGGCTGAGGTCAGTAAGATTTTTCCTACATGCCGCATACCTATTAAAACGTTTTGACAGGTTTTGACTTATACAATTGTTTTGTCCATAATTTCCTAACAATAATTGCGCTACTGCTGTGCATAAAGCTTTAAAGGAAATTTATAGAAGAAAATGCATCAAAACACCTTACTTCAAAAAGAATCGCGTCTGAAAATATCAACTCAGAATGGCACAACAACTGGATATCCAAGAAACATAATACATGAATAATTTGCCACGACGTAAGAACAAGATAAAGGCATAATATTCATAGTGATTAAACGTGAATTTTCCAGTGCTCTTGCAAGAATCTTTACTTTATTTATGTAATCGTACTTCGTTGATGCCCTATGGCTAAACTTTCGTGAAATACATTATATGTTCTATATTTTACATGTTTGTTTCGAGGAAAGGACTACAGTCTACAACTGTCAAATAATAACGCAATAACTTAGGCCCAAGGTATCAGTGGACATATCAAACGAAGATAAGACAACAAGCGATAACGGATTTCGATTAATAGGCGCATATCTTACCATAATTTCGGCTTTGTAAACAATACAAAACATTTCAAAACCCTTGATAAGCAGAGCAGATATTTTTTACCAAAAAATGTTAGTTTTCTAATTTTACGCGGCAAATATCATGCAATAATGATGTCAATTATACATTCCCTGTCAATTATACCTCTGGGCCAATGCGATAAACTGTAGTTTAGAGGTCATTGCCCTGGGCAGTAAACCCGGGCAGTAAACTTTTGTTTCCTGCCCGGCCTATCAAATAACATGGCATTTTGACACCGACAGTTTCTTGGTCATAGTTTTACTGCCCGGCTCGTGCTGTGCTTAAGACATACCCCGGCATGTAGGAATTTATTTTCTGGACCGAAGCTCTTAGCCGACTTAGGAACGAGAACATCCCAAAATGTTGGCTTAAGTGCATTCTGGTAATGCATTTTTGACCGTGGTCAATTTGCTTACACCAGTTATTACCACACCCCTCTGGCTAATGTATTTGAATAGACCAGGCATACAGTAAAATAAAACATCGCACCTTCAACAGGCTTGTGAATGCGTGCATGGTGTAAGTTGTAACACAATATCCTTAATTTAGTGGGTAGTCTCCGATGAATGATTTTCTCAACATCGCCGCATGGTATATTTGGCTGCCTACTGAACGCTTACATAGGTATATCGTCCTATTCTATGTTTACGTTCATGCCACGCTGCGACCACGCTTTGCAGTCTGCATCTTCAGTAAACATTCGTCGGTAGCCCGACGACCCCTCCCCCAATCTGCTCTCTCTAGCCCCTCTGCCCCTCCCGCAGCCTCCCGCGGTGGACGAGTCAACCCCTCTGCCGGAGTCCACGGCGCGTATTGTGGCGTACCTGCGCTCTCGGTGGCTGGACACACTGACCCGACTGCAGCCGATCCCGTGGTGTCCCGAGTTCAGACTGCCGCTCCAGGAGTACTACATCGCTCTGTCGCTGCTGGTTAATGACATGCACGGCGACCGGCTGCGGCAGCCGGTGGAAATGGACCAGCTGCTGGCGCCGCTCACGGTAAGGGAACAGGTGTTTATCCTGCTCACGGTACGGCACTGTAATAGGACGTCGCACCCTGGCTGGAGCGATATTATATTGCTAGTATCTGAGATGTCTTACGGCTTACGCTTACCGCTGCTTTCTGCTGCTGAGGTGCTACTGTCTGAGAATGCGGTGTGACGAGGGAGACTGACGGGGTTCACGCGTTGCGTGTCCGGGATCTCGCCAGCGCCGCGGTCGGAACGGGCGCGCTTGGCACCCGGGGGCGAGTGTAAACATGGCTGAAAGTGAACCGTGAAGTCACCAAACGTGGGGAGAGCTCGTTAAAGTCAGTGCACCGTTATGTCGGACGTTTATAGCTCTAGGTACGGAAATCAGACGGACTTGTGGGCTAGCATTGGCGGATAATGAAGGCCCTTCTGGTACGAACTGCACCCTGAATCCTGGCTTCTTGTGTTATGGTGCTGGCGATTCCCAATGATAACACCTAGCACGTTTCGTGTGTATTGTTAGGACTTTTGGCGAGCGCTTCAGCCCATGTAGTCAATCAATCGCTCTGATACCTACCTATCTTGCAAAGTGTCGACGTGAATACCAAAGTATACCTACGCAACAAAATCGACTTACGAAGTCGACGTGAATACTGGGGCAGTTTTGTATTTTATTGACGAAACAGGCAACTCCGCCGCAGTGCACCTTGGCTATTCTGTGTTTTAACCGTGATGGTAGAGGCTTCAGAGGCTATTCGTGACATGACAAGTTCGATATCAGGGCGTCGGCGCTCGTTTCCCTGACGTTGGTCTGCGTGTTATCGCCCCCACCAGCCGGGGGAGACGGGTCTACCCGGCGCCCGGCCGCGCCGCATCCTGGTCGAGGGTGAACCCGGCTTCGGCAAGAGCACGCTGATGCTCAAACTGCTGCACGACTGGGCGTGCGACGACGCGCCGCAGTATCTGCGCTACTTCCATGTGAGTATCGACTATCGTGGGGGGGGGGCTGATTTCTCATTTAAAGACCATGGGCGCTGGTTTTGGCGTATTCTTCATTTCGCGGTAACGTTGTTGCTCAGTTTCACTCACTATGTCGTTCACTTGATATACAGACTACGTCTTCATGTAACATTTACCGAAACTATCAATGTAATGTATCATGGGACATTGATGGACCCTATCAACTGCTTTTTGTTACTGTGCTATCTGTGCATGCTGCGCTGAATTCAACTGCTGATACCTGGCTCCTCCCTCCCTTTTGCTCGGCAGTTCGCCTTTCTGATTCCGCTGTGGGAGTTCAACGGCTCTCTGTACAACTTCCTGCACCGGGAGCTGCTGCCGCGGCACATTGTCGGCCGTGAGCGTATGGAGCAGCTGTGGCAGTACCTGGTCGAGCACGAGGAGCGCGTGCTCTTCCTGCTGGACGGCCTGGACGAACTGCGCGACGAGCAGCGGCCGGCCGTCACCGAACTGCTCGCCGGAAAGATGTTCCTCAACAGTACCGTGGTGGTTACATCGCGACCCAGCCACGTGGCCGAGGCGCTGCCCTGGGTGCACCGGCGGCTGGTTATACAGGGCTTCGAGCGGCCCAGCGTGGGCCGCTACGTGCGCCAATACTTCAGCTGTGTGCGCCGGCCGGACGGGGTGGCCGGCCTGGAGGAGCAACTGCGCCGGCGGCCGGCGCTGGCCGAGCTGGCGCGCTGTCCGCTCCTCTGCCTGCTGCTCTGTGTCGTGTACGAGGAGTGTGACGCGGCGTTCCCGGCCAGCGAGGCGCTGCTCTACCGGTCGCTGTTCGAGTGTCTGATCCGGCGCAGTCTGCTGCGGCGCGGCCAGCGCCTGGAGGAGGACGGCGCCCTGCCGGCCCGCTGTCTGCGCCTGCTGCGCCAGTTCGGCCGGCTGGCCGTCCAGCTGTGCCTGGAGGAGCGCGTGTGCTACAGCCTGCAGGAAATCACCAACCACGTCTCCGACCGGGAGCTACTCGAGTGGGGATTCCTGACGCGCGTAGTCAGCGTCTCAAAAGTGCAGAAGCGCGAGCTGTACCAACCGCTGCACCGGACCTTCACCGACTTTCTGGCGGCGTTCTTCCTGTCCTCGCTGCCGGACCAGCGCGCGCTGCGGCACGAGATGGCACCTGTGCTAGTGCGTCTGGAAAGGCTGGACGGCCAGCCCAAAGCGTCACATGGGGTGATGGTGATGCTGCGTTATCTGGTGGCACTACTCAACGACGGCCAGCGGCGCGCCTACCAGGCGCTCGAGCTGCTGGCGCCGCTGTGTCTCGCGCCGCGCGCTCTTTTCACACTGCTCCGTGAGGCCGGCGACGAGCCGCTCGCCCAGAAGGCGGCTGCGCTCTGTCTGGCCGGCCAGCAGCACGTGATGGTGCAGACGGACCAGGCGGCCGAGCTGCGCGGCTGGACGGCCGTGCTGCGCAACAGCGCGCACCAGGAGAGCCTGGAGGTGGTTTTCCGGCCGGGTGGCGTGGTGCCGGCGCTCGAGCCGCTGCTGCGCGCCGCCGCCTCCCGGCTGCGCGCCGTCAAACTCTGCACCCTGCTCGGTACGGACATGACCAGTGAGGAACTGACAGCGATGGGCCGGTACGTGGCACAGCTGCTCGAACCCGACGCCAAGGCGCGCTATCGACTCAGCGAGCTGGAGATCGTGCTGCAGAACCTGGACGACAGCGACTTCGGCCGGTTCCAGCCGCTCGTGTCGGCGCTGTGCGACGCGCTGCCGCAGGTGCCCCGCTCGGCTCGCCTGAAGCTGGTGCTCGATCTGGACATGTCGGCCGAGCAGATGGCGCAGCTGTCGGCGGCGGTGCGGCGCGCGCCGGCCGTGGCTGTGCTGAGCATCTCACACCTTGTCTCGTTCGACGGCTCGATGCAGGCACTGGCCGAGCTGGTGCGCGCCGCGCCGCTCTCCGCGCTCACACTCTGCTCCGTGTGGCGACCCGACACGCACGCCACCAGTGCGCTCGACTTTTTCCGCTCGGAGCACGCGCTGCACGCGGCCGGCGGCAGCGCCACCAGTCTGAGCCGGCCGGACGCCAGTCTGCGGCGCAACTACAGCCTGGGCCGCGGCTCGGCCGGCGGCGCCGCCGGACTGCAGTTGGCGCACCGACTGCGGCTCGGCCGCGAGCCCATCTGCGACCCGGCGGCGCACGGCGGCGGCTTCCACCGGCTATTCTGCGCGCTGCGCACGCCCGGCTGTCTGCTGACCTCGCTGCGGCTGACGCGCTGCCGGCTCACCGGCTCCGACCTGGCCTGTCTGGGCGAGAGCCTGCGCGCCACCACGCACCTCACCAACCTGACGGTGCAGGACGTGTCGCAGGCCACCGACCTGGTGCCGCTGCTGTTCGCGCTGCAGGAGAACAGCCGGCTGCAGCTGCTCGACCTGGACTCCAGCACCATGGTCATCGAGGACGCCGAGTTCATCCTGCTCTGCGAGTCGCTCGTCTGCTGCACCAGCCTGATGCTGCTCGACCTCTCACATTGGACCTTCAGACTGGAGGTCAGTGGCTAGGATCTGTGAATCTTCATCAGGTACTGATCAACTCGGCTATCTAAAAATATTTTTATCCCGAATTCTAGCATGCGTATTCTTCCACGGCGTATGCCATGTTACTCAAGTTCCATACCCAGCTGAACCCAGCTTTACGCTTTGTTTTTGCCAGTTCCCCCGTCTCACACCATATCTCTCTCATGTATGCCGCCCTGTCGCGTCCGTCCGACACCCGTTTCCGTTCGTGTTTACCTTCTCCCTGTCTGTTCGTTCGCCCTCCCGTCTTCTCTGGCGCGACGCCCCGTGTCCCTGCAGTCGCTTTGTCCGTCTTTTTGTCCGCCTTTATGTGGGACGGAGCTTGTCCGCCTTTATGTCTGACGCTCCGTCCCTTATTCCGGCAGTGGGAGCAGTCGCTGCTGGCGGCCGTGCAGCTGCTGCAGCAGACCGGGCTGATGCAGCTCGAACTGGACGGCTGCTCGGTGTCGGTGACGCTGCCCGACGGCCGGCAGCCGACGGTGGCGCAGCTGGTGCGCCGCGTGCCGGCCGCCCGCTCCCGGCTCACCACGCTCGGTCTGCGCCGCGTCTCGGTGACCGTGAACGAGGGCCGGCCGCTGACGGGCGCCGAGCTGATGCCGCTCGTGCAGCGCCTCTTCCCGCGCGTCTCTGAGCTCAACCTGGCGGTGAAGGTGGGCGGCGCGCCGCTCGGCGACGCCGCCCTGCTGCGCTTCTTCCAGCAGTGCGCCGAGAGCGGCCAGCTGCGCCAGCTGCGACTCAGCAGCTGGCAGCTGCAGGTGGCCGCGCCGCGCGCCACGCTCGAGTCCAAGCTGCGGCCGCTGCTGCGCCGGCTGACGCTAGGGCAGATCTATCTGAGCGGCGTGAAGGCGACGGACGCCACGGAGGCGCGCTGCGAGCACCTGCTGGCCGTCTCGGTGATCGCCCACTCGCGGTGTCTGCGGCTGCTCAGTCTGGGCGGCATGACGTCCCTGCAGCCGAGCCAGGCCACCGCCATCGGACAGGGCATCCGGGACCGGTTCGCCGGCGAGCAGCTGATGCTCTACACCAGCGGCTGGCCGTACGCGGCGCTGCGCGCTCTTCGCTCCGTCGTGGAGGAGAGTGACCGGCTGATGGCCTCCTATGCCGGCGGACTGACCGGGCTTTACGTCATCACACGCACAGACAAGCCAGGGAAGGGCGCTTAGCGCCCGTGATGAGACGTCTGGACGAAGTGAATCAGTCCCCGTGAGCCGGCCGTGCAGCCTGGGCGGCTGGGTTTTAGATTGGGTAGGTGGCGCCTACGCTCCAGATCCGGTGAGTACCCCTCGTGCGCTCGCCGCCTGAAGCGGGGTACATTGTTACATCGGGACTCACGGTGCGCTGCTGTGTATGATGGCTTTAATGGTCGCCGATCTTCCAGTTTTGGACCAGCTGGTTGTCTCATTTCCATTGTCGCACCTAACTGCTTGTCTCTTTCCCCGTGCGGCTGGCCTCATTCCTGACTCGCGATAGTGCTCATTGGCTAGTAACCGTTTTCTTCTACGGTTTCATTCATCTCATTACCGCTGCAAGATCTGATAAAGTACAGTTACTGCATAAAGCAGTCGTCAGCTTTCCTGCAACTAATAGCCGGACCATTCCGATTCAATATTGCCATTGTGGTTCGTCTAAATGTTCGGAACGAATAGCAGTTATCTATGTCTATATTATTTATTACAAATATTTTCCATTTATTTTGCGCCGAACAAATTTATATTTAATTGTAATGCTGCTATTGTTTGTTAGAGTCACGCCTTTAGCTTGAGAATGGTAATGGATCATTGTAGAAGCATCTGTGCCCGTCAGTGCGCTTTCAGACAAAACATTGTCTTATTACATTTCAAGTCCCTACCGAAATATCATCGTAAGAAAACTACGAAGGCAGTTCCAATGCGGAAACTAAGATTCAATAGTTTCAGTTCCTTAGCTAATCCTGCTCTCTGCAAACAATCATGACATTGCCAAGTTTGAGATAGATTGATTCGAAGACTGAATACTTGGCTCGATTATCATGAACTCCGCCGACTTTTATTTTAATGACATGGAAATGCCCTGCTATTTCTCCATACGGTATGCTAAGTTCGTTTCAGAACACAATATCGTATGGAGTGATTTCATGTTTGTTAGCGCTATTGTTATTGCGATGCTCAGGTGAACGAGGCTCTAGTTGTTGCTTTATCGCGTCTTATTCGGGTGTAATGAAGTAATTGACCCTCTAGACAAGTGTACTTATAATTGTGGTTGTTATTGACAAGTGCGCACACTCATTGCTCACTCGCTACTTACGAAGCTTACCCGATAAACGCCTTGCCGCTAAGTATTGTCCGAGGCGTTGTGCGGAGATTTTCGATAGCTGTTGGGCGCCGTTGCCGCCCTGTTGGAAATGGTCGTGCCGTCGAGCTGTGCCCGCGCTGTGCGCTCCGTAGTTCGCTAGACGTGCTCTGACGACTGACCGGCTGTGCCGTCGGGTTTTGTCGGTACGGCCGGCGCCATCGTGCAGTAGTTTAGGCTTGGCATGCGACTTGTGCTGTTACCAGCCGCTTTGGGGGCCGGCTGGGCCAGCTCTGCCTCTCCCGTCTGCACTGTCCTACGGAGGACGATGGAGAGAGGATGTCGAGTTTTGTGCGGCACAGGCTGTCTTGCAGAGCCGCCGGGCCGTCCTTGCCTTCCCAACTGTGGTTTGTGGGTGATTGAGAAGGGAAACTTGGGAGACGCCTGCATTTTTGCAATGTCTATTTCAGCGTCAGAAAGTAGTTTACTTACTAGACGCTAGGCATGGACTTTGTAGTTGAAAGACTATTTATGTGCCATTTTATGGCCAGGTACAACAGAAGAAGATTGCTAACTTCGCTAGTGCATATGACTAAAGCCATCGGCATCGGTTTATACTCGTATGTGTGGATGTTTATCGTTCCATGTGATGAGCATTGTGAAAACGTGCTTGTGTCAACTTTTTGACGTACAGGGTGTCCCGAAATTGACGTCCTCTCCCATTGCGTGCAATAACACCAAAACAAAAAATGATCGGTTCATGATTTATTTGTTGATGTATCCACCACGCTTCCGCACACATGCCCGCATGCGCTCCGGCATGCCACACATCAGGTTGTCGAGAGTTTCTCCAGAGATGCTGCTCTAGGCCGATCGGAGGTTCCTGATGAGGGCAGTCTCGGACGACGCTGGTGCCATCTTGTCCATCCTGTCCTGGACGATTGCCCACAGTTTCTCGATTGGCGACAGGTCCGGGCTGTTACCTGGCCATTCTCCTTTGGCCCAGAAGCCAGGGAAGTTGGCCCGGCACCACTCCTGGGTCTTGGTGGCGTTGTGAGCCGGGGCACCGTCCTGTTGGAAAATGGCCTGTGACATGTCCGGCAGAAGTTTGATGGCCGTTGGTGGTCCGTTCTCCTTCCTTCGTCTCATCGCTGATGCCGCCGTTCCCTTCATCACCTCCTCCACGTAGTAGTCCGCTGTCACGGTTTGGCCGCGGGGCACGATGCGAAGGTCTGAAAGGCCACGGAAACTCATCATGCCCCACACCAGGACCTTGCCCGGCTGCTTGACGGTCTCGATGACAGGCACTTCTGAGCTGTTCTGAGCCCAAACACGGTCGTTCTGGCGGTTGAGAGGATGGAACATCTCAAAAGGAGACTCGTCCTGAACAGGACCCGCCTCCAGTCCTGCATGGACCAGTTGATCCGACTTTTAGCGAAGTCCAGCCGTTTTCGTCGCTGTGCTGCCGTCAGCTTGGGCTCCACGCGCGGTTTCAGCGGCTTCAGACGGAGGCACTGCCGCAGATACCGGTGGACAGCGGACTTGGAGGCCGGATGATTTTTTGCACTGAGTTTTCGCGCCAGTTTCCGTGTCGACTGGCGCCGTTTCGTAACGGATTTCGCCACCACGATTTTGGCCACCCGGCTCATCGCTGTCTTCCTCCCTCTTCCCCGCGGTTCTCCAGAGTCTCTCCCTTGCGGTCGAGGGCCATCCAGCGTCTGAGGGTCCTGGGCTCTATCCTTAGCTCATTGGCTACCTATACCTGGGGCGTGCCGCCGTTGACCATGCCGACAGCGCGGTAGCGAGTCGACAAAGGTTACTCCTTCGCCATGGCTGATATGCAGTCCGCGCGCCTCGCGACCCTCTTGGTAAATGACCTCTGCCGCCCCGCCGGGTCCTGGGTCGGCTCGCCTGGCTAGGTCACGTGACCATCAAACACGTGACCGTGCCCCAGGGTCGGGTCCCGGTAAAGCGCCATTGGTATACCGGTATTGCTCTAGGGAAACGTAACGAACGGGAGAGGACATCAATTTCGGGACACCCTGTAGTTTGGCGGTAACTCACGCCAAGACTTCAACTGACTTGTGCCTTCCTATGGCGGCCAAAATCGTTTCGTCAGTATTTACGTACAACCAAAATGTGCCTGACTTTTAACTAGAACAACTTCCAGACATTGCGTCTCTTTGACGGCCCGCTGTGATAAAATGTGCCAATGTCGCCCACCTGTGTATTGTTTGCCTGGCCTTTTGAAGCGTTTTAACGACTCGACATGCAGTGATGCTGTGTAATGAAAGGTCACATGCGTGTCTGATCCACCGTTAGACGTCGCTTAGTTTTGATTTTTGCACTTCGTTACTTGTTGTCGTTAAGTTAATATTCCGAATAATGCTTCAAATAATTGTGACGAGTTTCGCTTTGTGAACTGAAATGACGCGATAATATACCACGAAATGTGAAATCATTTAAGTGTCCGGTATGATTAGTGTGGTGTGCGACTGTAAGTAATGTAATGGAACGGATACCATTCGTAATAGGAAGACGACTGGAACTTAAAAAGCCAAGCTATTGATGCAGAACAAGGACCACCTCCGATCCGCGCTACATTCCCGCCCCTCACATCTCGGCTGTTCGCACTAATTCGAGACAGGTATACCACACACCAGAGGGCCTTAGCCGGGAGCAATGTAAACGGTTTCACACAATCTTAGATGGCTGCGAATTCACACCATTGTATTGTCTCAACGGATCCGACGTATAAGCCCCTTCAATTCTGATCTCGCACGGCCGGCGAAAGGGCTCTGAAATAGTAACGCTCAGAATATCTTTGGAAGAGCCCTAGGGTTACCACTATACGGGCGGCACCTAATTCTACCGCTATCAGTCAGCGCCTTAGACACGCTGCCCTACCATATCGCAAATGATGCACTGCCGATGATATGCTTCGTGGTTGTAGCGGCACCTGTCGCCGCTCGATGCGTTGCCCCGGCTGACGCCATTGTTCGTGTGCAGCCGTCAGTGCCTTCGTTGGCTGGACTGACCTCTTTGGCGTCTCAGAGATCGGAATTGGTCTGAAGCCCGTGGCTTCTGATGGTGGATGCCTGTAACACCAAAAGCTTTAGCTGTGATGGGTACGGAGACAAAATCCCTAGCACCTAGTCTTTTCGAATGACATGACACGAAATGCATTGGCATTTTTTCATGGTTGGCCATAAAAGTACCAGTCTTGCAACGCATTTTTTTATAACCTTCGCCACAACGCGTATGACTTGTGCTATGGCCATGCCAGCGGCCGGACCCTGGAAATCCAAACCCAGTCGGTCGTTGCCCGCACCGGCTACTTCTGTCCTACCCACGGACTCAGATTACGTCCCTCACCTAGCTCTGCGTGTTAGCAGCGGGGCTCTGTGCTGTTCCTCACCTAGCTCTGAGTATGGTCGGGGCGCTGTCCTGCCGCTCGACTCGCCTCCGCCGCCGCCCGGCTAACCAGTACCACGGCCCGGGAGTGGTGTCCGTCGCCGGTCGGCCAGCGGCCGCGCCGGAACACCAGTCGCCGGGCCGCGGCGGCCGGGTCGGGTCGCCAGCGCAGGTAGCGGCCCGCCGGGGCTGGTGTGGTGGCCGCCGCCGAGAACCGAGAGTGCGCCACCAGGCCGGCCAGAGCCGCCGTGTACGGGATGCGGTCTGAAACGGAGAACATGTTCTTAGTCACCGCATCCATTGAATAAAGGTACACCGGTCGAGTGTCAGGCTTCGAGTTAGGCAGTTTCTGACCTATAGCGATCAACACGGCTGTCAGCTGCGCTGCACTCTTACAGTCTCGTCCGATCCAGTAAGGTGCCATTATGGATAGTGCTGAAAATAAAACGGCGTGTCGTGGGACCGCCCGAAGTCCAAATTCGACGTGTTGCGTTGGTAACAGCTCCCAAGGTACGACTTGCTTCTCGACAGGGTGGCTCTCTATTTGTGAAGTCTGGCAGTACCAAATCACTGAATATATGGCCTCACTAAATTAGAACAGACGGCAACTGGCATCCAAGGAGCAATTCGGCCAAAGCTAACGGCCGGTGGCCCACATTTTACGCCACTATAAAGCATTTCACAGCTATCTCGGGAGCAATCATTTGCACTGCAGACGGACCGTCATCTTTCAAATGTTTTACAAGGAATCCTGACGCATTGTGGGCAAAATTACCGCCTCAGATATGTGCATGCCAAACTTGCCAACAGATGGCGCTAGAGTCGAGCGCCTGAAGTTATGCTGTGCCGGCGAGCAGAGTCTCAACAAACCACATCGACCGATGGGATGGGAAGTAGTAAAGGCCGACGCGAAGACAGCGAGCTTATGCATATTGCCAGCTGCCCTTCCGGATAGGTCTACCAAAACCATACCAGTTGCCTCTGACCCACACGGGTCGCTTTTCTCTCCAGTCGCCCACTCTGGGAGCGAGCGACCCGTGACGTTTCCGGTGGCGACAGCCGGGGCTCCGCAGATGTCACCGGCTAAATCGAGGCAGCCCGGTGCGACTCTAATGAAGGTGTGGTGTGACACGGCGCTCCTGCGTCCAGGACAGGTTGAGTTATCGACCGGGCCGGACAACGGGCGGCGGCGAGACTAATTGGGGCGCCCGGGCCCGGCGGCCGCTCTCCGAGATCGGACGAGCCCCGGCGGCCGGCCCGGCCGGGCTCCGGACCACGGCGGCCCGGCTGGGAGAGTGGACCAGAGCGGCTGAGCTAAAATACCAGAACACCCGGGCTGAAATACCAGAGCAGCCGGGCTAAAATACCTGAACAGCCGGGCTAAAATACCTGAACACCCGGGCTGAGGACCAAAACATTCCGACTCGAGGCCTGAAGGGTCGAAGGCCTCAAACTTACAAATGTGGCTATTTGTCTCACCCCATTGAACAACTCCTGCCTAAGAGTACTTCCTGTTTTTTTCTGTTTTTTTTTTGTTGTTGTTGGGTTAGGCCCTTTCGGTCCAATTAGACCATTTCAGAGCCGGAAGGATGATAGGAATTAGGGGGAGACATTGGTCTGGGCAGGCACCCTAGTGAGTCACCGGGGCTGAGCCCATCCCGAAGGACAGGTCGACCAGCCCCAAGGTACTCACTGCACCCGGCTACGGGGTGCGCTCCCTCGGGAGCAGCGGTGCCGCTCCAAGGAAGCAGCCCGCATGAGATAAAGTTGCCTGTCCAGCCCGGAGGGGGGTTGCGGCGTGGAGGAGAAGGATTTCCGTATCCTGAGGATAGAAGCATGGAACGGTGAGTACTTCCTGCATAGGCAGAGATAAGAGATTACTGATGCATAGCACGTGAATTGGTGATTACTGGACACCGGTGGAGATCAGCGTTAGGCGTGCTTGCCATTCGACTGCCACAAACTGCGCTAAGCACCAGTCCGGACGCTAATCGCGGACTCAAACGTCCAGATAATTGTATTTATATCCCGGCACGGGACGGCGCCAAGATGGTAACAACGCCAGACCCGCACAACAACAAGCCACTCCAGTGCTTCGAAAATCCAGTTATTCGCCAACTTAGCCAGCCCTTGGAAGCCGCGCACCAAAAACGACGACGGCGGCGCTCGGCTTTCTAAGAGACGAAGGCGAACAAAGTGACCCTGTCACCGTGAACAAAGTAAATAGACTCACCACTCACTCGGAGACCTCTGCAAAGCGCGGCTTTGTCTCATATGTCGCCGCCGGTGGACGCCAGCGAACGATTTAATCAAGCTATCCTGCGCAGATATGAACGCCGCTTCCCCCATAATGGAGAGATCATTCAGATCTATGGTCATCTGATATGAAGCGTTAAGGAAATCATCCAGCGACGAACCTCGCTGGTATAGCAATAGCTGTATTACAGGACTGCGGTATTATGTACCTACAGGGTCGATTGCTGCTTTGACTATCAGAGCAGATCAGATGGCTGTTTGGTGGCGAATACGGTTTTGGTATTCACGGTTTTCGGATTCCGTCCTACAGTAAAAGTTACAGAACAATATGTAACGTCGTTACGATAATTTGGCATTTACAGCACATGTTGTGGCCTGTGATGGAGGAGCTTATCTTGTTTCAGCGGCGAGCCCACTTACTGAGAGTCTGTTTGAGTCGCTCCCACTGGGTAGGATTGTGCACCAGCTGAATGAGCAGCTTCATCGAGGAATCGTCCACCGACAGCTCCCCAGAGCCGGACGACTGAAATGACACACAGAGGCCCGGAGGGAATGTCAGAAAACAGAGCACTCGCAGCCACACGGAGAGGGGGTACACAGTGGTTAAACGGTAAAATGTGATGGCAGTGGTAAAAAGTGGATTAGTGTAGTCACTAGGTAGAATGAACGTTTACGCAAAGGCAGGGTGAGAAAGAGAGAGAGAGAGAGAGAGAGAGAGGCGAAGAAAGAGAGACAGAGAGAGAGGGGAGAGACAGCGAGAGAAGGGGAGGGGAAGAGAGAGAGCCGAGAGAGAGGGAGAGAGAGAGAGAGAGAGAGAGAGAGAGAGAGAGAGAGAGAGAGAGAGAGAGAGAGAGAGAGAGAGAGAGAGAGAGAGAGAGAGAGAGAGAGAGAGAGGCGGAACGGCGTCTGCTCCCCAAAAGTAATCAGTGGTCGTCGTTGCGGGCCTTTCAGCCGTGCCAGTGCGGTGGCAATTTTTGCCGGTCTTTAATCAGCCGGCCGTGTAGGGGCGGTGACGAGGACTGGGTAGAGGGCGGAGTGCTGGGGAGGGTGCTGCCACCGCCACCGACGCGCCGAGGGCGATAGAACACCGGAGCTGATCGGAGGTGGCCTGTCGCCGTCAGCGACGAGCGTAAATGGTCTGACGTCTGACGCTGGGGGCGACAGGCGTATGCTGTCAGACGCTAAGGGGTCAGTATTCGGCCGTAATCTGCAGAAACATGGGCACGACTAAGCGGTACCGTCACTCACTCGGTCTTGAGGCTTGAGGGATTGCGGGTTGAAACTATTATGTATCAAATAATCCCTTCACACCTGCAGGATGTAAAAAATAAACGGTTTCAGGCTTCAGCTTTGCGCGAAATATTTTGATCGGCCTTCTAACCACGCCTTACGTTGGTGTTATTACGTTGTAGGTAGGAGCATAAATAAAACGTGTCGGAGCAAATGACACAATTCCCGAGAGCCGCCACCGGTTGCAGCATCACTGACGGTGATCTCTCAGATCGTTTCTGGAACCGCCAGGCCTCAGCTAGCTGCAAAAGGCTGCGGGACTCAGTAGCCGGGTCATGAGCCCTTCCACTGAGGTCTGCGATAGATGCGGAAGATTACCGCACACATTATATCCCTCAGATCACGAATCCCTTCCACTGACCGCTGCCTGGACCACGGCTCCGGCGCCCGTGTCACAGTGTGGCGCTGCACACTCGCTGTTCGGCGACATTCGGGGCTCTGTGGCGGCGGGCTGCATCCTGAGTCGACCGACACCGGCGTCCTCCTCCGACCAGCCGCCATCGGCTGAAACAGGTCACACGATCACACCGATAACCCGCGAGTTGCTGGGGGGGGGGGGCGTTAAACGCCCCCACTTTTTTCGCCGGGCCATTGCATAAAAACGGCGCGCCGCAGGCGCGCCAAAATTTTGGGTACCTGTAGGGAATTGATTGAAGTTTATTGTGACGAAGTTTCAAAAAAATCGGTCGAAAATTTTTTGAGATATCGAGATTTTAGTGACGTCATGATTTCTGAGTTTTCGACCAAAAACGGCATATGTTCAAAAAATCATATAAAATCACAGAATAAACATACAGACATGCCGTAAACGCCATAAGACTGCCAATACCATGATCAATCAAATGGCTATCTTCGATTATTGATTATCGTTCCGCATTTTTCATAATCTTGAACTGAATCTTGGCAATTTTTCGTGACTACTTCACGACCATGATACATGAATTTATTAAATTGAACTTTTTGAGCCAAACACGTACATATATGATAAAATGAATGTCACCATCGTGTTCTACGCCCCAAATTACCTATAAAACATGTGTCACAGGCTGCGAATATCAGTTTTGATTTTCGGGGATATGTGCCTACCCGGTTGACCTGACCTTGACCCTGACCTATGCTTGACTGATCCCTACATGGAGCTGACACTCTTGTAGGCCTTATAAGATGGATTGTGCACCGTTTTGACAGAGTTTATGGCGAGAGGCGCCCATTGCGAAGTCCTGAAGTCCATGCTACTGAAAGCCCGATTTCAGGTGTTTGACCTGACCTTGACCCGACCTGTGACCTCAAAATTCAACTTTAAAGTACTCATCTGAAGCGTCTCGTCGCGCTCTTTCGTTTGCCGCCTCGTGCGTTTCGCTGCGCCTATTGGTTCTCGAGTTATCGGCTGGGGGCGTTTAACGCCCCCCCCCCCCAGCAAACGGTGGGTGGCGAAATACCCCAGCAACTGCCGGGATAACACGGGATGGCTCGGGACGGGAAGCTGCTGGTGCCATCGAGCCCCTATACCAGCCCGCATACATACACTAAATGCTATCAGACTCCCACCACCACCGCACATGCTGGGTAGCAAAGATCCGGTCGGTCACGTTTAGCAAAGATCCGGTTTTTGAAGTCACCTGAGCTGTTGGTTTATTTCTGCCTAGTGGGTCATTATTCCAAGCTTAGACTTCTGTACACCAGGTCGCAGGTGTACAGAGGTCTATGCTCCAAGCAATACGGCAAATTATGGCATAATTGGCCCTATTATGGCATAATTTGCCGTAATGCTTGGAATAATAACGCACCAGGTAGAAGTAAACCAACAGCTCAGGTATAAGAACATTAGGCATATCAATGCAATCCCGTAGCGTTTCCTGTAGTAATACCAAGACGATCTGTCAAGACAGTTTCATAGTATTCATCCGTAAGCATTATTGCGGCTCACAAGCGATTAGCGAAGCTAGAAAACGAGCCACTCATTTATATTTGAACCATAAATCATCAGCAGGATCCGACTTAGCAAGAAAGCCGAGGCTCCATCCCTCAAGCCAGTAGTTTCTGAAAATAATCTGTAGCGAGGGCAAAATACATCCGTGCCTACCGTTTATCACGTTACCCACCGTTAATGCTTAATTAGCTTACTGTGAACTTAAAACGGACGCACAAGCCTCACAATAACATACCACGGGCGTCAATACCCGTCGGATACCGACGCGAGACCTTTCTGGCTGACTTTGAGCCCTCAGAGCTAGACCGGCGTAGGCCCCCAGAGAGCCACAGCCCCTCACTATTCTATGCAAATGTAAGTTGTAACTATCCATAAGTGACCTATAGGTATGACTTGAACATGATTGACGTATATCCCAAAAAGGAATTCATATACAATTGCATGATGCGGGTGAAATCCACTACGGTAGGCGTAAACATCTGTAATGTCAAATGTGTGTGTGTCCTTTATGCTATAGAGATAGAAAGGTATCTTAAGCACGCGGAATGGAAGTTGACCCCGTCCGTCTCTGCGGCCGGGTCCTATTTGCCGGCTCAGGCGCCCGTCCCCAGGGAAACACAGGAGACATTTTCTGTCATCAGAGGAGGAAACCTAAGCCGTCCCTTGGGCAACAAACATTACACATAGTCAGCTCAGCCAGAGTGGTCAGGGGATCTGCTCGGAGTGTAACCGAAATTAGTAGTAATGCAATAATTAGTTACATAACTGCATTTAGGTGTGACTTATGCAGTCGACCAACACTTTCCTACAAGTTATAGCGCCACCGCAAATAGGCGGTTCACGATGACGATGAAAGTGGCGTATACATAGAGCGCTTGGACGCCATCGTTTTGCCAAATGCGACGGTGCATGTGAGAATAATTGGAAACTGACTTTTCAGTTACGGTCAACAGCATTGGAAGTCAAACTGTAAACAACACTGAAACATATCCGCTTTGACTGGCGCAATCCGATGCGATGACCCAACGCTGACAACACAAACCTGCATTCGCTACCGGTTATTTTTAGCAAATGCCTGCTGACCCAATCTAACGATGACCCAACGCTGACAACACAACACTGTCCCGAATGGGAATAACACGGTTCACCATGCTGACCGACCGACCTCCCCCTCCCGAGGCGTGGCTCAGTTTGTGGGCCAGCTCTGCTGGAGCGCCACCGAACGTGACTCCCCTCATTTGCAGTGGAACGAGCCGCATTCAGGCCAGCTGAATACGACAATTTGTGCCGCTGCTCGAGGGGAAACTTCACCCGGGCGTTCGACGGAACTCGCCGCCAATCTATGGACGATGATTTCATACCTTATACCTACATGAAAAATCCTTAAAAGGCCTGAAAATGACTTCAAACAATGGAAAGCGACCTCAACGAGCAGTTTAAATAATGAAAATTCGCCAGAATGCATCTTCTCTCCACATGTGGTAAGAAGGTATAGGTATACCTACTCTTATGCATACCGTTCTCAAATACCTATCTATATCTTTAAAAGTCTTAAGACGGTCATCTGTCAAATAAACGGCCCAAACGCATAGGCGGCGGAACGGGGAGGGCACCGGGGCACCATGCCCCGTTCCCTTTGATTTCGACATTTTAACATTAGCCCTATGGGCGTTGCATGGAAAGAATGGGACCAAAAGTCGGCAGTGCCCCCCCCCCCCGCCGCTACTGCCCAAACGTCCGGATGGTGCTTTTGATAAATAATTGACAGAAATGGTTGTGGAGACATTAGTTTGGCATCGTTGCGTTTTCTGACAGTCGCGTAAAATGATAAACGTTTTTGTTAGACAAAGGTAAAATTGGTATTGACAAGCTCAGGTCACGGTCAGGTCTAACCCAGTAAGGTAGGGAAACTGGTGGGGTAAAGGTCATGCTGTATAACATTTGATTTAGGCCGAACACATTTAAAGTTATTGGTCTATTTTTCGACTCACTTATCTACTCACTTTGGTCGGAGTTATTGACCGAAAAAAAATATGATGACCTCACAGTCACATACCTAACCGCATTGACAAAATCAAAAAGAGACTAGAGTACCTACCTAAGTTATGAAATGAAGACTCCAAGAGCTTGAAGCAGGGCCTATTTTAACATGTTAACTGGGGTGGCAAAACCCACCCCAGTGGTGCGGTTTTCCACCCCAGTCGTCTTACTTTGCCACCCCAGTGAAAAACAGCCCAAAAGTCTGCCCACAGATATTGGCTGCCGACAATCACGGAGGCGACACATTCTTGGGGCGAACTCAGCTTGACAGGGGGAAAAGGGCTCACTGAGGTGCCACCACCACCAATGGGATGCCCTCTCACTACTAGGGGCGCCCTGCCGCAACTGTGGCGCCCTACTTTTTTTTTATAAATTTAGCTCGAATGTTTGAATGGACAGATTGACAGAGCCGGAGCCCACGCTAAGCAGAGCTTGTTGCGAAGACTCCGACCCCTACCGTCCGATCGCGCAATTCCGGGTAACGGGATAATTTAGATGCTTAAGTTTAACGTGCCCTTCAAAGCCGGACACAACCTGTCCCACTCAACTGACTTCAACTGGCTGTGGCTGCTCCCACCAACCGCAGACCAGCCCCGTCAGGAGTCTCAAATATTGAGCGCCGGAGCGTCTCGAACCCGGGCTCTCACTACCGGGAGTCCGGTGCTCTACCAACTGAGCTACGGGACTCTACTTCGATTGGGACACACTACCGGCAATGGGGCGCCCTACCAGCATTTGGGCGCGCCTACCACGACTGAAGAGCCTTATCAACATTCGGGCGTCCAGACACGATTGGGGCGCCACACCACTACTGGGGCGCCAACTGCACCTTTGGGAGCCCTATCAGTATTGGCTGCAAAATTAAATTTGTCATGTGACTTTGAGACAGGCCGCGTGATCAACAATGGATTTTCTAACGCACGTGCACGCATTGCTTCTGACGAGGGTATTTCCAAGAGAAAAATCTGGCGGGCGGCGGTTTAACCCGCGCCCCGCTGGGGGTCCTGGATTTCCACGCCCTGCTGGGGGGGGGGGTTGAACACCCCCTTCTAAGTCGGCTCCTGGGCCACGTAGCGACACGCGGTAAGCGGCATCCGAAAGGACGTCAAAAACCATGACGAAAATACCCACTTGTCATTTTTTAGGTCAGGTCAAAGGTCAGGTCACCAAAGGTCATCAAAGGTCAAATTTTGTTATTTCAACATTTTTCGAAACTGCCGACGGACAACTCGGAAACCAATAGAGCTACAGCGCCGCGGAAAAGCGCAATCGATAGCTCTTTTACAGGACTTTCTGAATAATGTTCTCAGGTTTGACCTCAGGTCAACGGTTTAGCCTCCAGAGTGCAAAAACTTCAAAAATAGCCGCTTTTTGGAAAAAATGTTTTTCTTCAATAACTTTTGGCTCAAGAGAGACACGACAGTACTTTTGCCAGCATCGTGTTCCTCTCGTCGAGACGCGTCGAATGAACTATAATTTGACCTTGAAAGGTCAACTTGAAAATTTGACTACATATCAAGGTAATGACCTGACC